GAAGAGAAAAGACAGGAAAAGAATCATGTGTGGGAATCTACAGTTAGGGTCTGAACCAGCTCCCCAAAGGAAAACCACAGAGTTCTAAGAGGAAACACGGTGAAGAGATTTCTCTGAGATTTGATGGTCAGAGCAAGGCTTTGTGATGATGCAAACCTAGATCAAAGCTGAGATCTGAAGGATGAGTAAGAGTAAGTCAGACAGAGAATGGGGAGAACAGCGATTCAGGCACAAGCCCTGACATGGGGATGAGCCTGTTAGGGTTGAGAAACTGGACAAAATCGAGCATTTCTAGGAAGAGATAGTTAAAAGATTGGAGATGAAAAAAGGTACATGTGCACTTTTTGAATTTTATTCCAAGTACAATAGGAAGCAAAGAGTTTTGAAAGCTGGAGCAACAGTATGGTGGGTAAGGCATTTGCCTTGCATGCGGACGACCAAAATTCAATCCCCAGCGTCCCATATGGTCCCCCAAGCACTGCCAGGAGTAATTCCTGAATGCAGAGCCAGGAGTAACCCTGAGCATTGCTGGTTTTGATTAAAAAAAAAGCAAATAAATAAATAAATAAAGTTTTGAGCAGGAGGGCCACATAACTGCTCACACAATTTTTAGTACAAGTAAATTAGAAACACAGAGCGATAGCACAGCGGTAGGGCGTTTGCCTTGCACGCAGCCAACATGGCTGACCTGAGTTCGATTTCTCCGCCCCTCTCGGAGAGCCCGGCAAGTTACCGAGAGTATCTCGCCCGCATGGCAGGGCCTGGCAAGCTCCCCGTGACGTATTCGATATGCCAGACACAGTAACAACAAAGTCTCCAATGGAGACGTTACTGGGCCCGCTCGAGCAAAAACAAAAAAAAATTAAGTTCAAAAGGGCAAAATGAAACTATGAGGTTCTAAGACATATAACTAGGTGGAAAACTACAATGTACCTTGATATGTCTGGAGTAAGCTAAATATTCCAAACAGGAAGGTAGTCTGCATTACAGACTTCTGAGGCAAGATAATATCCTACTCTTTTAACTAGAGCTGATTACATAGATGCTTGCTTTATGTTTTATGTATCTTTTCTATGTAAACTAAAAAATTATAAAGTGTTTTCTTGCGCTCAGAGATTACTCCTGGCTGTGCTCAGGATTTCCTCCTGGCTGCTCAGGGGTCACTGTCACTGTCCTCCCATTGTTTATCGATTTGCTCAGGGGAACTAGGGATTAAACTCAGGTAGGCCACATGCAGAGAAAATGCCTTGATCCCTTTACTCTGTAGCCCCCATATTTTATTTTTCTTTCCTAAGAGTGGGTTGAGGTGAATAAACGGGGACAGATGGCTTGAGGAAATTGGTTTTGATAGCAATAATAATTGCCTTCTCTCATCTGTTCTCTCGTTCTTCTCTGTAGAAACTGCACCCCTACAGGGTTTTCGTTGGGCAGTATACCATCCAAGGATAGACATTTTTTTTTTTTTATTGAATCACTGTGAGAAAAGCTACAAAGCTTTCAGGTTTAAGTCTCGGTCATGCAATCATCAAACACATTTCCCTTCACCAGTACTTATTTTTCACCACCAAGAACCCCAATAACCCACCCCCCCAACCCTCCCAATGCCTGTGAGGCAGATGAACTCTAGTTAACACTCGATCTACTTTGATTAGATTCATTGTTTCAACAAAAGATGCACCATTATTATTTAGAGTTTACACCCCAAAATCAGACCTGTTGAAAAGGCACTGTGAAATAATTTGTTTTCTACAGCTGGTTACAAGAACCAAATGATGTCGCTACTGTGGCCGTGCGATTTTGGATTTCTGGTATTTTACTTATTAAGCCTGGAAGTATTTCTGCCGAGAGTCAGATAATTAGAGATTGGTTTCTGTGGCTCTGGAGCCATGGCTGTGCCAGAGAGCCACTCCGTTGGGGGCAACTCGTGACCTCGGTAGGGCGTGAAGGACGAGCCGGGAATGTCCCCCCTTCCCATGAAGTTTCAGTCGCCCCGTCAGGACCAGCTCATACCTGGCTTTCCAAAAAGCTCCGAGGCAGTCGCCAGATAGACATTTTAGAGCTTCTTTTGTTATAGGTGTGGCTATGAATCTAAGTCCAGTCTACCTCCCAGATGACACATAGTTTTTCTGGACTCCCCCTTCCTGCAGGTTGGGCTATGACTAAAAGGAATGTATCTGTCTCTGACTCAGACACGCTAAGTATGGCAGTGAGCAGGTAGGGCTATTGTCTTACCTGTGGCCAACGTGGAATCAACCCTTGGCACTACATATGTTTCCCCAAGGGCCACCAAGAGTGATCCCTGAGCATAGAGCCAGGAGTAAGCCATGAGTACTGCTGGGTGTGGCCCAAAAAGCAAAAAAAAAAAAAAAAAAAAAAAAAAAAAAATCACAGCCAAGCCTTTAGAGGCATCTTTGGATGATTTTGTGAAGCAGAGACGTCTACATGCCTCAGATTTCCTACCTGCTTTTATACTATTACAAGAATGAACAATACTTCTATCTTATTAAGTCATTGCTGTATCTGTTTCAACTGTGTTCTAATAGATTAGAAAGGAAAAGGAAATATGGAGATATGACAATGACTAGAGGAGTACTCAGAAGAAAACTTTAAATAATAGAGAATATGGTTCATGTTCAAATGCTAATGGGAAAAATAGACAATACAAGGTTGAAGATGTAGTAATAAGAGGTTTAATAAAAACAAAGTCTATCTCTTCAGCCCCTCATTTTGTGTTTAAAGCTGAGCAGGAATTTTTCAGTAGAGAAGAAGGAACAGAAACAGAAGGTAAAAAGAGGAGAGGAAACAAATGCAGAGAAAAAAGTACATTCAAGATGCTTGGGGGTCTAGAAAGCCTATCAAGATTTTGACATGGTCAACATCATGTCGCTAAACACTGGGCTGTACAAAGATTACAAATAATACAAATCTTTACTTAGTCTCTTTGAGATGAGTGGATTGTGAATATGTGTCTGGTTTTACAATTTTGGAAAACTTTTACTCATTTTTACTTTAATACTGATATTCTCTGGGGCTGGAGTGATAGCATAGCGGGTAGGGTGTTTGCCTTGCACGCGGCTGACCCAGGTTCGATTCCCAGCATCCCATATGGTCCCCCAAGCACCTCCAGGGGTAATTCCTGAGTGCATGAGCCAGGAGTAACCCCTGTGCATCGCCGGTGTGACCCAAAAAGCAAAAAAAAAAAAAGAGTACTAAATACTGTATCTTCTCTATTTTTATTTATGCCTCCTAGAATTTCTACATAGGACCTCTTTACAGATATAAATGAAACAGGGAGAACAGTGAATCAATTTCAATTAATTGAATAAATGACAGAACATTAATCCATTTCAAATAATTAGAATTTAAATTATTTGTAACTAACCTCAATGCCCAAAAGAGAGACGAGAGAGAGAGAGAGAGAGAGAGAGAGAGAGAGAGAGATGCTTGCAATAGAGGCAGGCTGGGGCTTGATGGGAGGGGGTTGATGGGAGAGAAACTGGAATACTGTGCACTGGTGGAGGGATGAGCATTGGAACACTGTATGACTGAAAGCTTATCATGAACAGCTTTGTAAGGGTCTATCTCACAGTGATTTAAAAAATATTTAAAAAAATACAAAAGAAATGATAACTTTATTAGTATGATTAGATATTAGACACTGAAGATAATTATTCCTTATATCATGAATGATCTGTTATAACAAAATCTTTTAATATTTCAGAGTGCATCTTCATATATAATGTCAAATACACTGATTTTCTTTGAATAATTTTACCTAATCCTAATAAAAATTTTTTAAGTTTCTTTTTTTTTTTTTGGTCACACCTGGCAATGCTCAGGAATTAGCCCTGGCTCTGCACTCAGGAATTATTCCTGGGGATGCTCAGGGGACAATATGGGATGCTGGGGATAGAACCCAGGTTGGCTATGTGCAAGGCAAAGGCCTACCTTCTGTGCTATCGCTCCAGCCCCCATATTTTTTAAGTTTCAAAATGTGTTTTCATATTCAAGTCTTGGAACAAAATAAAAATTGTAGGATAACATTGCTTGTCCTTTCTTCCTTGTCACAGGGAGCTCAGGTTTATCGGGTTACACCCATCACAGTGCTCCGGAGTCACTCCCATTCCTCTGTGTTTATCTGTAAACTCTTCTCTGTGTGCTTTCCTCCCCAACCAGTTAATCACCTTTTCCCCAGTCAGATTCTGTTAACTTGTAAGATCAGATCCTTCTAAGAACAATGAACTTGTGAGTTATGTCTTTTACATAGTTTACCTTAAAGCAATGTCCTTTCTGTATGGACACAGGAAGACAGTCAATATTATGCTTTTGTAACTTGGGAGTTGATTGACTCCGAATAATATTTACTCCCAGACATCTGCTTTCTTGACTCAGTTGCCCTTAGTTCCTAACACCCCAAAAGCAGGGTACCAACGAGGGACTGAATGGACCCAGGGCAAGCTGTGAGCTACCCTGGCATCAATATGGGCCAGGCCAAAGTGCCACGATACTCAACTATAAATTGAGGGCATTATCATGGAAAAAGAATAATATGCTATCTCTATTAGTATGTGTTAACAGGGGAGCCAGGGAGATAGCTTACAAACTAGTGCACATGTTTTACATATAATTGCCAAGAATCATGCCAGGAATAGCCCCGGAGCCCCACTGGACATGGCCCCCTCAAAAATAAGAGTGCCAAGGGCCAGAGAGATAGTCCAGTGGTCAGAGGAGTATGCAAATCAGTTCAGTGCCAGCATTACATGCCCACGTAACTAGAGGGTGTGTAGCTCTTGACATGCCATACACAGCATGGCCCAAGTACTAATACCTCCTCGCTAAATGTGGTTGGTCCAGTATGACTGTGAATGGTCTCCAGGCCCCCTAAGCACTGGTGAAACAAACAATAAAATGTGTGGCTACATTGTAAATCAAAACTAAAATGAACTTCCTCTAGGTAAAGCATTATTTGTAAAGTCTCTGTATTTAAGAGGCCGGCTTACCTATGATGAGTCTGTGAAGTGTTCCCTTATCGCCATTGATAGCAGCAGCATGAACTTGGGATGCCAATGAAGAACCAGTCAAGAACAAGTTCTCAGACTTACTCATAGTCTTCTCACCATCAGCTGCAACCTTAAACAATGGAGGTGGGGACAGTAAGGACATTCAGGAATCATTTCTGAAACGTATCTCATCAGTTCTAAGTGGCTTTGTTACAAATCTGACTTATTAGACATATTTGATATCTTTTACTAGGATTTTAAAAATACTACACTCCTCATCCTAGAAGTGCCATACTGTGACACCATGTACCTGCCACGAGGTGAACCTTTTGTACAAGTTGCTCATCTGAAAAATGGGACGTTTAGGTAAGTGTCTGAGGCCCTTCTCAGGGGCTGACAGAGGAAAATGAAGAGCTGAACATTTAATAGTAGAGACAGGGTTCAAAAACCCTTAGAGACTTCTAAGTTAATCTAGGAATCTGATTCCACATAATACTACAAAGTAGAATTATTTCCGAGAGTAAGGTTGATGACCAAGTCACAAAATGAGTGTGATGTGAACCAAATTGTTGGGTCAGAATGAACTACACTTAAGTGCTAAACCAAAAGTACCTAATTATTTCCCTTTTACCCACAAGAGGAGTAAGCTGTATGTTGGGGAAATAGCGCACAGGGGCAGAGCACATGCTTCAACAGGGACTAGGCCCCAAGTTTGATCCCTTAAACTGCATGTGTCTCACCTGCATCCCCCATGGGCAGAGGCTGCTAGATAGAGTTCTGAACATCACTGACACCAAACCATAAGACCTGACAGTCCTGTACCCCTGGTGTTCCCACTACTGATGAAGGAGGCCCCTATGTTTTGGTTTTGTGTCATTTTTGTGCTCACTAGGAAAATATAACTAGCTTGCAATATATGCCATGACCATCTTACTTGGGTCCTACACTACAGTAGGACTAACCATACTTCATCAGGGACATTTTTGACTAGTTTACTAAAGCCTAGAAATATCTTAACAGCATAGGCTATAATAAGTTGTCCATCATAAGAGTGTTAAAAGCTGAGGCTGGATTATCAGAAATGCAAAAGCAGGAAAAATTCAAGCATTTGAGAAGAAGGAAAGAGGGTAGTAGAATCAGTGATCTTGAGTGTTCTACCTGAACCTAAGAGGCTCCATCTGAAGTGTGGTGTTGCCAGCCTATAAGGACCAGGGAGTTAACAAGTGTAAGAAACAGAGACCCATGGGGATCATGGCAAACTGGGTCAGTTATTCCAAAGTGGAGAGAGATGAATAACCCACAGCTAACAGCTGTTGGCAGGACAGGTGAGTGCTCTCTGATGAGCACCAAAAGTGTCCACCATCAGAGTGTCACTCTCATTCCACAGGATGTAGGTGTTCCATTAAATAAATATATTAAAGCCCATGAGACAGCCATTGTGTGGCCACATCAAGGATTATTCACTCGATCTCTGCCTTCAACTAAAAATTCTTTTTGTGGGGGAGGGCATGAACACCCAAAAGTGCTGGGGGACCCCACGGTGCCGGATGGAACCTGGGCCTTCCTGGTTGGTGCAAAGCATGAGTTCTGCCCTTCAAGTTCTCCCTCTCTGACCTGAGTATTTTCTTAATTTTGGTAAAGTTCAGTTCTCTGTTCCTCTATTTTACTGACAATTTGACATGTTGGCAAAAAAAAAAAAAAAAAAAAAAGAAAAAGAAAAAGAAAAAAGAAATCTGGGCGTTATGAGAAACTCCTGTTGTGTGCAAGCATGACTGTCATGTCAGAAGAAAAACCATTTTCATAGTTAGGGTTATATTAAAGCCACTTGAAAGAAGCTACTAAACGAGGGTAGAAGTGGCAGTGTAAGTCAGGAGTAATTGTCCTTGGGCTCAAAGCCCAGTTCTGCTAATAATAAGCAGTGTGCCCTTAGCCTACCTCAGCTCTACGATTTTCTCTAAATATGAAAAATAAAAAAAGATACACCATGCTAATTATCTGGTAGAGTGCCAACTAGGTACTAGGCACTGTTCTCAGCCTAATATCTGCCACTCCAGAAACTTAGTGATCAAAGTCACATATGAGTCACAAAAATAGTTCTTCATATCCTTTGAAAAGCTCTTAAAAATCTGCTAGCAGTTATATGAATTTTCACATATTTCTCATATTCCAATCCTTAGCATTTAGCATAGGTATAGTTACCACCGTTTAGCTGGTGTTAAGTAAATGTTTGTTGAATGAAAAAATCACAAGCTGAGTGCCAAGTCCAAAGGGTGAGCAGGATTAAAGTTTAACTTTTTGGCGAAATGAGTTTACAAGATGAGTCTGCCCTTTTAAAATCCCCCACCTCTATTTTTTTCTATTAAAAGTGGAAGAGGGGCTAACAGATAAGCACACTGAACCCGGAGAGGAGCCCTAATTAGCAAACCTGGCTAAGCCACTAATTTGGTCATCCGAGGAAAAGGCATCCTCATAGGGCCCTTGCTGTCTGTCTTTCTTTCTGCAGGAATTTACAAAACAAATTTATAGACCAAAAAAGGAGCCCACTTTATTAATTGTAAGGTGCTATAAAAGACAAAGGTATCATCACCCTTAATTACAAACCAAGCCCGCGTAGTAATAACAAAGGCTCTTAATAATTCTAACGGTGCAAAATCAGAGGAGTTGTAGTCTCAAGCCAAGGGAAGAGGAATTGTGGCTGAACTGCAGGTTGGCTGTCTGGGAAGTTCCCGGAGATGCATATCTGAGAAGTTTTCGAGATGCAGGTCGCGAAAAGGGTTAAGGTCCTTCCGGACCGCGGGGGGAGGGGAGCCGGGCAGGCAGTAGGGAGAAGCCCCGGGGGGGACGGAGAGCCTGCGAGGGGAGCAGAGAGCACAGGAGCCGGCGGGTGGGCAGGCGTGGTGCGAGGAGCTCCCGGGAGCCAGGCAGCAACCCTCCACTGCAAGGCTCACCCCGCAACACCCCGGGTGCAGGGAGCCACACACATTCGGATGCAGGGAGCCACACACACTCGGACGCAGGGAGCCACACACATTCGGATGCAGGGAGCCACACACATTCGGACGCAGGGAGCCACACACACTCGGATGCAGGGAGCCACACACATTCGGATGCAGGGAGCCACACACATTCGGATGCAGGGAGCCACACACACTCGGACGCAGGGAGCCACACACATTCGGATGCAGGGAGCCACACACATTCGGACGCAGGGAGCCACACACACTCGGATGCAGGGAGCCACACACATTCGGATGCAGGGAGCCACACACATTCGGATGCAGGGAGCCACACACACTCGGATGCAGGGAGCCACACACATTCGGCGCGTCACTCGCACGCTGAACGCTTCCACCGACAACGTCCCGGCCCAGATAACACTCCAGAACCGGGGCGCACCGACACAATTACGGATTTCTGGGTCACCGCCTCATTCCACGGAGGCCCAGAGAGAGGTGTCTCGGATTTTTTTGTTTTTTTCCTTTTTTCCCCCCCGCCAGGCAGGAATGAGAGCAGAAGGAAGAGGCAGCAGGCGGGAAGGCCAGGGCCGGAGGCTCGGGCCGCCGCCCAGGCCAGGAGGACTGAGAGTGCGGACAGGAGGAGCAAGGGCAGGGCAGGGCAGGGCAGATCGATGCGAGCCTCCCCAGCAAGGCCCCCTCCTCCTACTCACCCTCGCCTCCTCCAGGACTCACGTCCCGGGGGCGGCTCCAGAGGCACCCCCACTGGGCCGCCCCTCCCGCCAGGCCAGGCCCCTACATCCGGCCGGGGCAGACCCCCACCCCACCCCCCGAAAAAAAAGGGCTGAAACGTGCCGAGCCCCCTGAGAAGGCCGACCCGGGCTCTCGACGACAGTCCTCTGGGAATTGTAGTTCTCCGGCCTCACAGGGCCCGTGGCCCCCCGCCCTCTTCTATCCCAGAGGTCCCCGCGCACGGGGGACTTGGCCGACCTTGCACCGAGAGGATGCTGGGAAAGCGAGTTTTAGGTGAGCGGTGACGTGCCCTTCCGAGAGGGGCCCAAGACTACATTTCCCGGCGTGCACCGGGAGGGGCAGGACCCGGAAGTGAGGGCGGGAGAGGCCTCTCTGGAAGTTGTCCCGGGTGCTCGCCGCTGGAGCTCCGGGTCGAGAGGACGAGGTGCCGCTGCCGGGAGGATCCTCCGCTGCCGCCGGCACCCGGAGCCCAGCCCTTTCCTAACCTAACCCAACCCTGTCCAGTCCCGGCCACCAACTCCCGTCCCCGCCGCGGACCGCAGCGTTGCCATGAATCCTGCCGTTTTCCTATCCTTACCCGACCTCCGATGCTCCCTGCTGCTCCTGGTAAGTGAAGGAATGACAGACGCGCCGACAGATGCACGGGCGGCCTCTCGCCCTCGCGGAGTGGGGCTCTCGCGGTCCCTTCACCCTGCTTTCTCCATCTTCCCCTTTCCCGCCCCCGCCCCCCGCCCCCCGCCCGGGTTTGGCGGGGCATGCATGCACCTTCCCCCGCCGCCTGCCTTCGTTTCTCGGCATCGCTCAAGTCCCCTTCCCAGGCCGGGGTTCTCCGAGGCCTGGAGAGAACCGGGCTCGGAGGGGTTTCGGTGGGGCTGGTGGGGGAGGGGGGAGACGCAAACCCGGGAAAGCCCGAGACTCAAGCCTGGGTAGGAGGGGACGGGGGAGGGTCGCGGCGAGGACCGCGGAGCCAGCCTCGGGAGCCACGGGCGCAGCTTTCGGACGCCAGGACCCGGCGGTGATGTGAATCCAGAACGGGCTCCCGCCCTCCGTCTCTCGGAAAGGATGCAGGTTGGGCGACAGGTTGCTGGGGTCGTGCGAGGCTCCCTCCCCCACGAGAGCCCCGGAGCAGCGGTGCCCGGGTCCACAGAGCCCTGTGTTGTGGCTCCATGCGATTGGCTGGAAACCCGGAACTGGAGTCTGGCTCGGTGTCCTCGAAGGGGGCGGGGGTGGGGGGTTGGAGAAGGGAGAAGAACGGGATCGTCCGAGCGGGAGGATGCGGTTCCCTGGGAGCCTCCGCCGGGACCTCCCTCTGCTCTAACTGCCGCACCCACCTCCCCGAAATCCCAGTGGCCTTCAGTGGCCGGAAGGACTGTTAGCATTCTTAGCTCAGCGCCGGCCCATCTTATGTAAAGGGACCATCTGCCCCCCTCCCCCCCTTTTCTAAAGAGCATCTTGAGTGTGCAACCTGTCCCAGCCTGGCTTCAGGTCGACTCGAGCCTGGAGTGAACCTCGCCAAGGCCCAAGGCAGAGAAGGCAGCGAGTCGCCCCTGGTTTGAGATAGTAGAATGAGTCTGTAGATGATTTGACAGTGGCAGGTTTTTCCGAAAGCCCCCAGTTCGCCACAGAGCCCTGTTAAAGTCAGAAGCACTTCACAGTTTTAAAAAATACAATTAGGTTAACCTCTCTAGCTGGTTCCTGGGAGAACTGCGGCACTAATCGAGTTTCTTGGTTCGAAGTGATGATTCCCCGCCTAGCATGTGCAAGTTTTTATGGTTCGAATCATTTTTCCTCTCTCCTTTTACCCGTCCTGCCGACGAGTTTCTCATCCCCAGCCCTGTGTGTTCCCCCCCCACCTTTCCCCTTGTGATTTGCAAGCCATTTGCAAAAGCCATATGTAGTACTTTTGCCTTTTTAGAGGAAAAGTACTTAAAACCATAGAGGGTGTGAAAAGTACTTTAGAGAATTAAAAGTAAAACATGTAATGTTCGCATATAATTACAAAGTTTTTAAAATTGCATTTGGGATTATGCAGCAAACGATTTATAAGAAAAATATTTTTATAAAGAACTAATTCTTAGTAATGTTATATACTTTCTTTGTGTTTCCCTTATGTAAGTACTGGAGTATTCTTCCTGTTGTTTTCTGAGTCCACACAATCTTTTTTTCCCAATTTTTTTTTTTTTATTAAATCACAGTGAGATAGAGCCTCACAAAACTGTTCATGATTAGATTTCAGTCACACAGTGTTCCAGCTCCCATCCCTCTACCAGTGTACTTTACAAGTGTACATTTCCTAGCACCAGTCTTCCCAGTTTCCCGCCCATCATCCTCCACAGTTCTCTGTCTCTCTCTCTGTCTCTCTCTCCCTCCCTCTCTCTTCCCCCTTTTGGTCATTGTGGTTTTCAGTGCACAGTGTCTGCACTGTTAGGTTATCATGTATATCCCTTTATGTACTGTCAACACTCAGTTCTTGTCCAGCCTGATCGTTTCCAACTATTATTGTCATACTATATTGTCATGCTATTATTGTCATATATATGTATAAGTTGTCATATATATTGTCATATATTGTCATATATTATTGTCATATATAGTCTCTTCTCTATCTTACCTGCCCTCTGCCACACACACTTGTGGTTGATTTCATCCACTGAGCAGTTCTAGCCTCTGTTTTCCCTGGCTGTGGATATTAGTCTTCTACTATATTTATATTTTTATATACCACAAATGAATACAGTCATTCTATATCTGCCACTCTCCTTCCCACTCATTTCATTCAGCATTATACTCTCAATGTCCATTCATTTATAGGTGAATTTCATGACTTCATTTTTCCTAACAGCTGTATATATTCCATTGTGTAGATGTGCCATAGTTTTTTTCTTTTTTTCTTTTTTAATCCTTTTGTCTGTTCTTGGCCAAGGGTTGTTTCCAGGTCTGACTATTGCAAATAGTGCTGCAGTGAACATAGGAAGGCAGATGTATGTTGTTTCTTCTGTGTTTTTTGGGCCCCCCTGGTATATTCCCAGAAAGTCTTTAAGGATACAAGATACAGGAGCTATAGTACAGCGTGTAGGAAGCTTGCCTTGCATGTGACTGACCCAAGCTTCATCTCATATAGTCCCCAGAGTCCATCAGGAATGATACCTGAGTGCAGAGCCTGGATAAGCCCTAACACTGGCAGGTATACCCCCCACCGAAATAAGAATACAAGATACGAATTTTTCCTTGTCTGCAAAATGGCCTGAATTATGAGTTGCCTGCCTGAAATTATTTTTAGGTTACCAAAAAGTACAAAGGAAGAAATCTGAGGTTAAAGGTTGAAATGTTGAATAGAACAACTGCATTAGATATGCTTTCCTGGAATGGTATGTTTTGTTATTAGAGTTAAATGTAATAAGGAGAAAGTTGTTTTTATATACTTTGTGCTTTCAGGCTAGTGCAACTCATAGGGTGCTTGCCTTGCACTCAGCAGACCCGGATTCAATCCCTGCCCACCATATGGCTCCCCTGTGCACCACCAAGAGTGAGCACAGAGCTCAGAGTAAATCCTGAGCATCTCCGGATGTGGCCCCCAACCAAACAAAAAACCTTGTCCTATTCATAGAAAATATACAAATCCTAATAGTATAAATTTTCTCCCTACTAATTTAAAACTCTACTTAACATTTTTGTATTACTTCTTAGTAAGTGCGGAGGAACAGACACGTCTTAGAAGACATGTGAAGAATACTGGTAAATAATAATTGACTGGAAAGTAAAAATCCAAGGAAAGGTTTAGTAAACCAGAATTACAAGTCGGACTAGATCCAATTTGAACATAGCATTTACCAAAGTATTTTTAATAATCATTTTGCAAATATTTATAGGACATCTGTCAAAATCACAATTTGAGTTACTCACCTAACTGGAATTATGTCCTTGGAACCAGCTTACTCAGTAACCCACCTATCTAAAAATATATCCTTTTATCTTCCCCAGTGTATTTTCTTCATTCTCCTTCCAACTTCCCCTACAGACTTCAAGTTTATTTTTTTCCAGACACAGCCATTCAGTATCCAAGTTCCCATCTAGATGTGGTCATAGTATTTTTTAGAGTACAGTGTACTCTAGGGCTGGAGAGAGAATTCTGTGGGCTGAGTGCATGCAAAAGGTTTCATTTTATCCCAAGCACCACCAGAAGTGACTTCTGAGAGAGAGCTGGAAGTAGCCCTGGAGCACTCAGGGTGTTATTGCAAACAGCAAAATTAAAGATCTGTTCTCGGGACTGGGAAAATAGCTCACATGGCTGAAATGAATGCTTTGCATGCAGGAACCTTGTATTTCATTCCTAGTACTCTCTGTGTGTGTGTTTGTGTACATATATATGTATGTGTATGTGCACATATATACACACATGTATATATGTATAGATGTGTTTGTAAAGTCAAGGTCTTAAGAGATTTTTTCAGGCTTATAGGAAATATCTCGTCACTTTAAGTTATTTTTGTGCAACTCGAATTACAAGATGTTCTAAACAAAGTGAAGTAGATGCTCTGATTTTGGATAAACCATTAGGAGAAATTTGAATCATCTGACAGATGCAATGAGATCATAATTCTCCTGATACCATATATTGTTCTGTCATGGTTTGAGTTGAGCTCTTAGATGTTTGATTACAGCTTTAGTTCTGAATGTAATCTGTGCTCCATAACTATTTATATTTTGTGCATGATTTGAGTTCTGGAGATGACAGTTACACTCTGCTAAAGCCCCATGCACATAATAATATTTGGATTGGGAAATAGCTTTCAAGATTTGAGAGCTGCTTGAGAGAGAAACACCTGGCCAGATATATCATGGCATTATCTTTTATTCTACTTTGTGACAATCATTTTGACAGTCAGATCATAGATAACAGAACATTTATTACTCTAATGAAAGAATTAGGTATTCAGTTAGCTCTTTTTTGCTTACCTTTCTGATATGGGTTTATTCAGGATTAAAGGCAATGATTTGTTTTACATTATTTCTTAGCAGTTGATCTTTCTGCATTCATTGAACACAAGATTTTGGAAAGGTCAGATAGAGAAATTAGACTAACTTAGAATGAAATTGTCTGGTATATCTCCAGCTCTTCTGTGGTTCCAGAGAGCTCGTAAAATTCTATTTTAGTTACTTGATGATGTTTTCTCATTAATCTCTTGATAATTATGTTTACATATAATAAGCTATCTCTAGCTCTAATTAGCTTATATCTGGATACTAAGGCTTTTGCCATTGTTTCTGGTTTGCCCAGTATGTATTGGACTTAAAGTTTGCTTAGGATACTGAATAAATTAGAGAGCTAAGCAAACATTAATGAAAATTCTCCCTGGAGATTGGAGAGCTAGTACAACTGGTAAGGTTTTTGCCTTGCATGCAGCTGATCTGGGTTTGATCCTTGGCACCACATGTAGTTGCCCAGACCCTTCCCGGAGTGATCCTGACCATGGGATGAGGAGTAAGCCCTCAGCACTGTAGGGTGTGACCACTCACCCCACAAATTATGCTTATATGCAGGAGACCTGCATTCGACCCCTGGTACCACTTGGTAGTAGTTCTTGAGCATCTCTGGATATAGGATA